AGAGAGAGAGAGAGAGAGAGAGACAGAGAGAGAGAGAGAGAGAGAGACAGAGAGAGAGAGAGAAAGACATAGTGAGAGCTGAAAAGAAAATCAGAAGAGAGCAGAGCTAAGAATCTTTCAGAGGAGGAAGTCAGGAATGATGACTAAGAAACCGCTGAATTTGGCAATACCATCTTTGGTGTCCTTTAAGGGGGCAAGTTGAGAAAAGTAGGAGGGGTAAACAGCAGACAACAATAGGCATAAGTTAAGGTGGAAAGGGCAAAGGAAGGAAGAAGACAGAATGTGAGTTTGAGAATGAGAAAGCACAAGAGAAAAGACTGAGTGCAGAGAGTGCTCTTGTTTTCAAATTAAAGGAAAGGCAGGTGAGAAAGGAGACAGTGAGTATCACAGAAGACGTGGGAGGCCTCAGGGGAAAATGGGATCCTGAAGCCACATCAGTCATCTTTAAAAACAAGACTACTCCCCTCACTCCACTCTGTAGACCAGGCTGGCCTCGAACTCACAGAGATCAGCCTACTTCTGCCTCCTGAGTGATGGAGGATTAAAGGCACACGTAACCACTGCCATGGCAAAAAGATGTATTCTTTGAACTAATTTACTGGTGTAATTCTTTTTTGGGGGGAGGGGGTTTCTCTGTGGCTTTGGAGGCTGTCCTGGAGCTAGCTCTTGTAGACCAGGCTGGAATCGAACTCACAGAGATCCGCCTGCCTCGGCCTCCCGAGTGCTGGGATTAAAGGCGTGCACCACCAATGCCTGGCAGAATTAACCTTTATAACATTTTATTATAGAAGTAAACTATCTATTCTGGGGCTGGAGAGATGGCGCAGTGGGTAAGAGCACTGGCTGCTCTTCCAGAGGACCTGGGTTCGATTCCCAAACACCCACATGGCAGCTCACAACTATCTGTAACTCCAGTTCCAGGATGCCCTCACACAGACAAACATGAAGGCAAAACACCAATGCACATAAAATAAAAAAATAAATGTGTATGGTAAAAAGAAAATACCCAGATAATTGAGAAGTGGTGGCTCACACCTTTAATCCTAGCACTCAGGAGGCAGAAGCAGAGGCAGGCGGATCTCTGAGTTAGGCCAGCCTGGTCTACAAGAGCTAGTTCCAGGACAGCCTCCAAAGCAATATAGGGAAACCCTGTCTCGAAAAACAAAACAACAACAAAAAGAAACCAAACAAACAAACAAACAAAAAGGGCTTGCCCAGAGCCTGGCAACCAGAGTTTGTTCCTCGCAACCCTCCTTCAGTATCTACATGGAACTGTAGCATTCCAGTACCTGTCATATACCCACTCTCAACACACACAAAACCAACAAGCAATGGTAGAATACTAGTATTTTTTTCAAGAGCAGATTACAAACAACAACAACAACAAACAAACAAACAAAAAAACCCAAAACCTAACAGGCTCATTCCTCAAAAACCAAGCTACAAAAGGCCTGAAATATTGTTCCTGGTTCATTTGTAACAGCAGAGTGGGTGGGTCCTTGTTAGAGTGTGTGTGTTCCAATCCTTGCTGGGTGGGTGTATGTTATCTTAAGAAGAAAACAACATGAAGTAAAGGGGAACTCCTTGGTTTTTTGAGACAGGGTTTCTCTGTAGCTTTGGAGGCTGTCCTGAACTCGCTCTGTAGACCAGGCTGGCCTCGAACTCACAGAGATCCACTTACCACTGCCTCCCGAGTGCTGAGATTAAAGGCGTGTGCCACTACCACCTGGCAAGGGGAACTTTTATTAGCAATATCTGATCTTGTCATACACAAGGTGTTCCAGTTAGGGAACTCTGGCTGTGCAGTGACTACCTAACAGTTTGACAAAACCGGAGGTGGCTGGGTGGGGCATATTAACAGTCCTTCTGCAAAGATGAGTGAGATCAAATACACACACAATGTCAAAAATCAGAAGAGGTGTTCTTTTTCATTTCTCTGCAAAGCTGTGTTCTTGAGCTGTCAAGATGGCTCAGCTAGTACTGGTGTCTGCCACCAAACCTGATGACCTGAGTTCAATTCCTGCAACCCACTTAGCAGAAAGGGAGAACCAACTACAGCAAGTTACCATCCAATTCCCACAGGCATTTTGTGGCATGGTCCTCTCTCCAGGCTGAACAGCTCAGCTAGAATCATATCACTTGCAGCCTGAGTGAAAAGGGTCCTTCCTCTCTAAAGTTTAAACTCACAAGACACTCAGGTCAAGGTTTAACATAGTAACAACCTGACATGGCACATCTAGGCAGGGTTTTACACTCAAAGGACTGAAAGTCAGACTCAAGATGCTTCTTAAAATTTTACTGTCTAGCTAGGCTTGGTGGTGTATGTCTTCAAGCCCAGCACACGGGAGGCAGAAGTAGGTGGAGCTCTGCGTTTCAAGCCAGCATGGTCTACAGAGTGAGTTCCAAGATAACCAGAGCTCAAAAGAAAAAAAAAGTTTTTTTTTAAATTTTTCAACTTTTTGTTTGAGTGTTGTGCATAAATGTATGTCTATACATCACATATATGTCCAGTGTCCTCAGAGGCCAGAAAAGGATATCAGATCTTCTGGAACTGGAGTTACAGATGGCTAGCTGGATGGATGCTGTAAACCAAACCTGGTTCTCTATGAGCAGCAAGTGCTATTAACTGCTGAGCCATGTCTCCAGTCTCCCCCTTCCCACCCTTCCTTTGAGACAGGCTGCCCTGTATAGTCTAGCTGGCCTAGCTTCACATCCCAGGTTGATCCTGAACTTGCAGTCATCTTCCTGTCTCTGCTCCGGAGTGCTCTACCACCAAGACCTGCCAGATTCAAGCTCTAACATTTCATTTTACAAAATTGGATAGGAACTCAAATTTTCTTCAGTGATTCAGAAACAAAAAACATAAAAATTATGTTAATTCTAAAACTTTACCATAGTTTTAAACAGAGATTCAAACACGAATAATGTTCTTACTAGGAGGTGTTCAAGGCAACTGTGTGTGTGCATGCGGTGTTTACATGCTCATTTTTTTCCCTCTGCATGTATGAGGGTGTCAGTAGCCCTGGAACTGGAGTTACAGACAGTTGTGAGCTGACATATGGGTGCTGGGAACTGAACCTGGGTCCCCAGGAAAAGCAGTCAGTGCTTTTAACCGCTGAGCCACCTCTCCAGGCCCAAAAGTATACTTTTTCAAATGAGCCTTCATAATCGTTTGGTGGTTTGAATGAAAATGGCTCCCATATGTTGATTTGGCACTATTAGGCTAGAGTAGAAGTGGCCTTGTAGGAGGAAGTGTGTTACTGGGGGTGGGTTTTGAGGTTTCAGATCCTCAAACTGGGCCAAGTGTCACTCTTCCTGCTATCTGCCAATCCAGATGTAGAATTCTCAGCTACCTCTCCAGCACCATGTCTGCCTGCCATGATGATAATGGACTAAACCTCTGAACTGTAAGCCAGTCCCAATTAAATGTTTTCCTTTATAAGAGTTGTCCCGGCCGGGCATTGGTGGCGCACGCCTTTAATCCCAGCACTCGGGAGGCAGAGGAGGGCGGATCTCTGTGAGTTCGAGGCCAGACTGGTCTACAAAGTGAGTTCCAGGACAGCCTCCAAAGCCACAGAGAAACCCTGTCTCGAAAAACCAAAAAAAAACAAGAGTTGTCCCGGTCATGGTGTCTCTTCACTACAACAGAAACCCTAACTAAAACACCCAGTAAGTACAAAGTCCTGGACTCAATTCCCAGCAGGGTTTGGGGAAGAGTTGGGGATCTTTCCTTCAAGAAAGACTGGTTAGTAAAGGTGACTCATTCATCGAAGTCATTTTGGGTAGAGCACAACCAAGTTCAGTATCAATCACTCAACAAATATACAGATAGCCTAAAATACATGTGGGCTCCAAAAGCTTACAGCCTACCTGGCAAGACGCAGTATGGCTAAAGTAGTAGGTGACTATGCGCTAAAAACAAACAGCACAGGCCTATTTCCTAACTCATCGGCAGAGGAGGTTCTGCTGGGGGCTGGCTTTCAGAGCACACTGCAGAGGAAGGTGGGCTGTAGCAGAAGGATGGCAGGGTTCGGGAGGATGCTGAGGAAGACCTGCAAGCAGCCTTCGGGCTTTAAATCCCCTCCCATCCACACTCATTCCTTCTTTGCCTGTCTCTGGGCATGAACCTCATACTCATCTGATTCCTTCAAGTAACCTTGTAAGAAGCCCAACATACCCTTGGTTTACAGGTGAGAAAAGTGGGGACGAGAAGGCTTGACCAGCTGGGTCAGAACCCAAGTATTCTGTCTTCTAGTCCGGCAGCAAAGAGAATGTGGGAAAGAATGAAAACATTAATTCTGTGGGGGACACGGAAAGATAGGTTAGGTCAGACTGGCCCCAAAAGCCAACCAAAGATTAAACTTCATGCCCTCAGCAACAGAAAGGTTTCTCACGTTTCAGGAGAAAGTCTAACCAATAGTTAGGGACGAGTTTTACAATCACCCAGGGAAGAGTATTATAATGCACCAGGTGAGAGACAATAAAGACATGAATTAGAATTAGTGAAAAATGGAAGTTGTAAATTTTTACTTTTAAATTACCCAGAATTTTGTAACACCTCCCCGCCCACACGTTTCCCTTTTATAAATCAGTTTCAAGGAGGCAACACTTCTAACCAATAAATCTCAGGATTAGTTACTAAAAAAACCAAAGGCCACAGCTGACCAACAACTAACGTCATTTCCCCCATCCATCAACTATTAATATGATCAGAGATTTTTAAACAGGCTTAGTAGGTTAAAATTGGAACTGTCAATAGTATAGCAAGAATCTCGTGTTCACAAAATTCCAGAGTTCCCTTAAAAAGGAATACCTTTTATGCAACTCAATGAGCAGACCATACAGTTTACTGAAGCTTCCAAAGGCTTTTCAACTTTCCATTCGAAAGCCGTAGGACACTGTCAACTGAAGGGGGACTTATTTCCATATTAAAGCCCTAACCCTGCTTACACCTCCGAACCTTCCGCGGAGCAAGGATCCAATCAGCATTTGCAGTCTAAACGAGGCCAGGCCTACAGTGCAAGAACGCCCTACATCGTAGGCAACTCCAAAGTAGGTCTGTTACAAGATGAAGTTCTCAACAGTTGGCAGTCAAGTTTGGGAGAAGAGCCTATCAGCATCTAAACTTCTCCTGCCTTTCCAGCCCTGACTTCACTCAAAGTCCTCACGGTAACGTTTTCCCAAAATACACCGCAGTGCCACTTCCCGAAGATGACAAGCGCCCAGCTCTCTGCCATGTTAGCCTCCTCCCAAGACCCAGACCCAGAAGTGGGGGCGCCCGGGGAAGTTTCCCCGCGGCCCGATCCGCGCCGGGGGAGGCTTTTTCGTGGGCAAAGGGCTGCTGCGGCAGGAGCCTGCCTTACTCACCGCGACCTGGCGGCCGTGCTCCGGACCGTCGGCTGCGTCTAGGCGCGCGGCCGTTGGGGCCGGGGCGGGGGCCGGAGCGGATGCCGGGGCCGGGGCGGCGGGCGGCTGCCGGTGCTTGCCGGCGCGCTTGGCCTTGGCCTGGATGCAGCGCTGGTGCAGGGCGAAGGTGTGCTGGCGTTCGAGCTCCAGGCGCTCGGGAGACACGGCCTCGTAGCGGGCCTCACAGGTGCTGTGGTGTCGCCGGCACAGCTCGATGCGCCGGCGGAGGCGCTCCATGACCGCGCTGTGCCGCGGCAGCGCGAACTCCGCCATGGGGCAGGTGGGCAGCACCATGGGCCGCGGGCGGCGCGGGCCGGGCCCGGGCCTCTCGGCGCCGGCTGGCACTTAGGGCTCCTCCGCTTCTGGCGGCCCCCGTCCACTTCACGGCCGCGCCATACCCAGGCGGGCGGTGGAGCGGGTTCGGGCGCGGCGGCGGGTCTTCCTCCGGCCCCGCTCAGCCCGACTCCAAGCCAGCACACGCCGCCCGCCTCAGGCCTTGGCCTGTCTCCTGCACTCCTGCCCCATTGTTTTCCGCGCCGCTGCCGCCGCCATCTTAAAATTGTTTTCGGGGCTTTCGGAAGAAGGCGGGGCCTGGGCCGGCGAACCTTGCGTCACTGCTGACGGACAGGAGCTCTGACGAACCAGACGAAACCCGTTGTCGGAGGGCGTGGGGAAGAGCACGTTAGGGATGTTCGGGTATTTAAACTGAACACTTGGGCATGGGAAGGGAAGCCCCGAGGCGGGCCCAGTGGGGGGGGGAGGACTTGTGACTGACAGGAGCCTATCCAAGAGGAGCCACGTTTTCTTAACACCGCCCTCTGAAGGCAGTCCCTTCCGGGTTCGCGAGGAATGCGGGGTAAACCTGAGTGTGGTGGAAGCTGCCAGACCCAGATACCTGATGCCATCTACCTTTTCAGTCTGCCCCACGCTATTTCGAAGTCATCCATTACTGACCTCATCCCTTACATGCATCTCCATAATTGAGTGACCTAGTTGAGGTTTCTTCATTATAGCTGACAGATCTAGTAGGAATCACTGTTACTGTCAGTAAAATATCATTACTTGGAGGGGGGGGGAAGCGCGAAGCAGTCTTCAGCCTCACTAGAGGAAACTGGAGTTACCTCGATCCCCAGGGACTTGCACTTTAAACCGATTGGTACATAAAATTTAATCACACAAAATCCAACCCAGAGAGGCCGGGTTCCAGGGATGCAACTAGCAAGCAAATGGGCGAAGGGAAACAATCCAAGAAAGGACCAAAACAATTGACGCCCCCAACTGCCACAGGACTTGCTGGAAGGCTGCTCACTAGAAGACACCACCAGACACTCAAACATGTTACTCTTAACTTCTTGCCAGGGTTCATGAAATTTTTAATTTAAAAATTACAAGGAGCCAGTCGGTGGTGGCGCATACCAATAATTCTGGCACTCAGAGGCAGGAGGATCTCTGTGAGCTCGAGACCAGCCTGGTCTACAAGAGCTAGTTCCAGGACCGCCCCCAAAGTCACAGAGAAACCCTGTCTCAAAAAACAAAAAAATCACAAGGAAAAAAAAAAAGCTAACAAATTCCAAAAACCTTATAAATTCCTGTTTTTCTACTGTATTTGCATAAAACCATTTGGCTGTTAGCTTTTTTTTTCCTTGTGGTTTTTTTTTTTGTTTGTTTGTTTTTCTTGTTTTTTGAGACTGGGTATCTCTGTGGCTTTGGAGGCTGTCCTGGAACTCACTATACAGACTGAGGAGGCTTCAAACTCAGAGATTCGTCTGCCTCTGCCTCCCAAGCGCTGGGATTAAAGGTGTGAGCCACCACACCCAGTGCAAAAGATTATTTTCTAATAAAAACGTTAAAATAGTTTCCACACAACTTATAAACTATTACCTAGAAGCAAAGGGTGTAGCTCAGTGGTAACACACTGGTTCAAATCCCAGCACTGAAAAAAAACCAAAAAAAAAAAATTTCCATTTCTGAGCTGCTGTCCATTTACAACAGAAATGACTGAATCACTGCTGGACAGAGGAAGATACAAGACTGAATCACTCTTTATAGTAGCCAATGAAAAGCTCAAACCATTGTTCAAACAGTAAAACACAAAATTACCATGAAGTCCAGTCAAAAGCAGACACTTAACACAGGGCTTTAATGAAACACCATTTAGTAACATGGCAATCTGAAAAGTGTAGAGTGTTCTGTGGACAAGAAAATGCAAGACCACAGTTGAAGGAAGGGGCATTTTACAACAATGCAACAAGGAATCCAGCATATAATATCAGAATGTATGAGTCTTTATTTTTTATTCAGTGCCAGGGAATCAAAGCTATGGCACTTGGCAAAAGCCTGACAGCTGGAGCTTTTGTAAATGACTGCTGGCCATTCATTAACATGACAATGAAACCTTGAGGGAGGAAGAGGGACCCAGAAAGACAATGACCACCACCAATGATATGAGTCTGTCATTTTACAGCCTGGGTGAAATGAAGCACGCATGAAGCATATCAATGTGGAATGATTAAACAGATTTCTAAAAAAGAAAAACTCACCCCCATGTTTGCTTCACAGAGAAACCTGCAGATATGAATTACATGAATTCGTTTCTTGCTAGTAACTGTTTATTTCACTCTATACAATTTGGGAACGTCAGCTACATAGCTATGGTCATGTAACCACAAACAGATGGGGATAAAGCACTGAACAGCAAGAAAATGAATTCCACCCTCAAAAGAAATGAACCAGTGTTTAAAAAGACAACAAATAACATAGCCTTCATCCTTTACAAATATATTTCTTTCCCAGTATCTCCCCAATATAAACACTATGGTGTGTTTATATATATTCAGTGCAAGGAACAGTATCATCGGTACAATTGGAACGCCTCTGGAGAAAGAACGAAGTTGAAACGTGTTTCTGAATACATTTCAGTGTGGTGTAACAACGGTATTAGTACACTACAGTGATTCGGAAGAGGCTCTGGAGAAAGAACGAAGTTGAAGCGTGTCTGAATACATTTCAGTGTGGTGTAACAACGATATTAGTACACTACAGTGATGCGGAAGAGGCTCTTCTAGCACCCGTCTGCATTTCACATCAAAAACAAAACAACTCTAAACTCACTGTAAAACATTCTTCAGGCCACAATAAAATTTTGAACAGGACTGCTTTATTGTGTGAATTTTAAGACACAACTGTTACATGAACTGCAAATGAAGATTTTTAAATATCCTACAAAAGTCAAATAACTCATGCTATGTGTCAATCCTCCCAAACACTTTTAGTCTATGTTCAATTACAGTCAATTCTGAATTGGCCCACCTCTGGGTTAGACTTTCTAAAGTCTACACAGAGTAAAAGAAATAGACACTAATGAAGTCTGTAATCTATCCTGTAGTTGGACCCTGGAAAGGTATGGGCCTGCTTAAAATAAGAAACAGATGTAATCACAGTAGAGCTAACACTATGCAGAGCTTATAATTTTCAGCAACGGACTGCAAGCTGCGCTATGAAGAAAAATGCATAGCAGAGAAAGCTGGGCACTGAGGAGATCCATGAGACAATGTCAACACAGTAGAACAAGTGATGAAGTTGTGTACCTAGGCACCACCAGCATTCCTTAAAAAGCCATGTGCTCCCGAGGATGTGAGCAGTCTGGCGTCCTATGTGGGAAGTACAGCTCCTCTCCTCTGCAAAGCTGTTTGTGAATGGAGCAGTCCCAAGGGCAACAGAACACTGTACTTTATGATCTGACCAACACCAACTGAAAAGTCTTTAGTCCATTTTGGGTCTAGTCAATACAACTCAAAAGGAACTTTGATATAAATTTGGGCTTCCATCCAATTCCTCTCCTATGCCCTTAGGAGAAATTAAGCATGGAAGCACACAAAACAAGATTATAACCACAAATGACTGCACTAGAACGTGATTACAATTTTAGGGACAGAGACACATGAATGTTTTAATACCAAACTTAAAAAAAATTGTTATAAAAACTGCAATTCATTCTCCCTAGCATTCCTAATGTTGGTGTTATTTCTGCATGAACAGATTAATATATTAAATTAAGCCAAGATTTTAAACCGGCAAAAATTCTACCTAAAAAAAGGAAGGAAAAAAAAGGGGGAGGGAACCCAAAGATTTTAAAAACATCAAAACAAAAACACAAGTTAGTTGCTTCATGTTACATTTCACAACCATTATGTTAAATGTTCTTTTCTACAGAAACAGGGTCCTTTACAACTGCAATTATTTACTGCTAGATGTTTAAATTACAGACTAGTATTCACTGGAACCTGTAGATGGTGACGTCTTGAGGTTTTCTGAGTTCCCACCTAAGGTATACCAGGCCCTCTCCTAGGACCACACTTGCAAGGGAAGGGGAGGGAGAGGAAATCACAGATCAAGTTCTTAAGATTATTTCACTCTCTTCGTGGCTTTCTGTTTCTTGGTGATCTGTTCAAAATTTCATCCTCCTATTAGATGAAAAGAAGAAAAGTTCACCATATAATTAGCATATTTAAAAACAAATTTTTGCCAAATTTCTGTAACAATTTAAACTAAATAACTCAATTGGGGAAAAACAGGAGGAAGGAAAAGTATACTATTGGGTAGTGAGACTAGTATTCAATTTTAGTCTTTATTTTCCAAAAGCATGTACTTTCCTCAATTCTATCAATATATTCTTTAATTTGGGAGGGGGGGTTATTTATTTTCTATTTTATGAGTGTTTGCCTGGATGTATATCTATCTGTGCACCCTGTGCATGCCTGGTACCCTTGGAGCCAGAAGAGGGCATCAGATTCCTATGGGACTAGAGTTGGACAGTTATGAGTCACCATCTGAGTGCTGAAAACTGAACCTATGTGCTCTTAAGAACATCTACAGCACCACATAAAATATAGCATATTTTTCTCTTCCAACTCCTGTTTATTACAAAAAAAATTTTCTGCACAGAAAAAATACTTTTGGGGATTCAAATAAAATGTTACCATTAAACTAATCTGTGAAAACATTCCCTTTGGGCTAGAGAAATGGCTCAGTAGTTAAGAGACATACTACTCTTTGAGACGAACCACACCACCTATATATAACTCCAATGCCTCAGGGATCCATCAACTACCCCCCCCATACACTAATTTAAAAACCCATGTAATAACTATACTTTAAGTTTAGATGGCTGGAGGAATTCATTAACTCCCTTTACCTCTGCAGTAGGTTTTCTATCTTCCTCATCTTGACTGCCAGTGCCACCATCATCTTCAGCATCACTTTTCTGTTTCTCTTCTAAGGCAGAAATTAAAACAATTAAACCCAACTTCACATCTGACTTTGACAATTAGAGCATCATTTAAAAACAATTCTTCCTGTAACTTGTTTTGTTAATTAGGATTTAGGACAGATTTCTAAGCATCACTCACCAAGCTTCTCTTCTCCTTCTTCCTCTTCATCCCCCTTGTTCTTCTCTTCTTCCTTCCCATCTTCTTCCTTCACATCTGGCTGGGGAGCATCTGTCTTCTTGTACTCCATAGCACTGGACTGTTTCTGAAATATTACCAAGTACAAGAACCATGTTTAGGTTGTCACAAACATTACCCCTCAACTCCTGAATGAGTGTGGGCAAAATATGTCCAAGGTTGTGTACAGGGCAGACATGCAGACATGTAAAAGATAAAATCCTTACCCATTTTTTTTTTCTGGGAAGGAAAGTAAGAGGGAAGCAGAGCAAGAGAGGTACCAAAACAGAATAAACAGTAAGAAGAAAGGCTGAGGCCTAGCTTGTCAAGCTGACTCAGACACAGATACTCCCAACAGTAGTGAGGGTAAGGCTGGAAAGAGACCCTTGAAGCTGTCAAAGTGCCATACACACAAGTTAAACCCTAAGTTACAAAACAACATGCAACAAAGTCTGAACAAGAAAAACATTGAGGTTGTAAAACCTACATGCATGCCGGATGTTGGTGGCGCACGCCTTTAATCCCAGCACTTGGGAGGCAGAGGCAGGCGGATCTCTGTGAGTTTGAGGCCAGCCTGGTCTACAAAGTGAGTTCCAGGACAGCCTCCAAAACAATACAGAGAAACCCTGTCTCAAAAAAGCAAAAAAAACCTACATGCATAGTTTTGAAAAGTATTGTTTTGAGAAATGGAAGGCAAGGAGGAAGAAATGGATAATAATTAAAGATCAAATTACAAAATGTAAGAATAAAAATAACATCAGGAGAAAAACTGACTGGTGCCCAGACAGTTGATCTTATGTCTAAGTTGTTTCTTTTTCTCTAAAAGGCTCCCACCAAATATTAGTGGAATTACAAACAAGGCACTCTAAATCCTGTCATCTGGACACAATGGACCACTGAGAAATGGTGACTAAGGTTTTAGAAGCCAATGCAATAATGGTCTACACTCTTGAGAGAGTACCTGGGCAAGGGGGTAGTTGCCAGCCCTGACCAGTATCCCTGTACCCTCTTCCAGCTTGGTCCACATGTCCTGACTATACACAATAAAATGCTAACTCCACTAGTGGGGTGCTACTTCAAACTGAATGCTGTGTTTGTCACACTCAAGTGTTGGCTTTAATTCTAAATAAAGGTTTCTATTTTACTTTTTTACTTCTGTTTAAGGTGGTCAGGTGACCTGTACTAGAGAAGCCTCCTTTGAAGTCTGGCACAAAGACAGAAGTGTCATCTCCCCTGGCTCAAGCCTGAAGTGATCTTGTTTGGTTTTTGTTTGTTTTGTTTTTTAAAAAAGGTCAATGCAAAATATGACCAAGTATTTCAAACTACAACTGAAGAAAATCTCAGTCAATACAACATTATTAGTTATTTTTAATTAACATCAAAAGGGCTTTCTAAAAGCAGCTCTAAAGAGACATTCTTACCTTTCCAGAGCAGCAGAAGAGGATCACAAGAAACACTGGCAAAGCTACAGTCAGAATGTAGACCACCCAGAGCCACGGACGCTCTTCAGCTGCTTCCAGCATCTGCCCCACTACACCTGGCTGAAAAACAAAACAATAATTCTGAGAACTGGCTTCTGTCACCAAATACAGGATACACTGATTTTTCCATCATTACTCAAAGCATGGTGCAACCTAAGTTCCTTGTTTTTCAAAAAAGGAGTTAAACTAAGATGCACAGATGAAAAGTAGGAAAAGGGCCCTATTTCATTTTCCTGCTCCTACCATTATGAAGTTTCACCTTCATAGGTGCAGCAAAAGGTAGTTTGGAATAACTGCAAAGAAGGTCCCTTACTCAGGACACAGAGATGAAGAATGTAACGTCTTCATCCCAACTCTGCTCCTTCAAGTCCCAGCTCAGCTATACCATAAGTCATTTGAAAACTCCATACCAGGGATAAACTAAGATTCAGCATTTTTAGTACATTAAAACATACTTCAATGGTAAACACACACACACACACACACACACACACACACACACGCACGCACACACACGCAAGCACGTGGTGCGCATACACATAAGACACTAAAGCCAGAATATGAGACTAATAGAACACTTGTTAACGTTTAGCTACTTTTCACAAAGCAATCAGTTCCCAAAAGCAGATATAAATGCACAGTAATGAACAATCACTAACCTCGGCAGCCCCATCAGCAGCTTTCTTCAGGCCCCACCCATCATTGGCCCAATCATCAACCACCCTTCGGTCACCACTAATGATAAAGTTGTCAAAAAAAATGTCTGAAGTCATGGACCAGAGCTCCAAACCAATAGCACTGAAAGGAGTCATCTTAAAAGGTTCTAGGTCTTCAAAGAAATCTGGATTTGGTATTTTCCTTGGTTTCCAGACTCCCTAGTTTTGGGTGGGGTGGGGTGGGGTGGTAGAGATAGGAAAAGAAGTTGCAAAACATCATTTCAGATAATAATAATAAAACCTATAAGACTCATTTTGTATGATCAATGGAGGTAAGCATTAATTTTGTCCAATTTAAACAAATAACAGAATAAATGCTAATGATGTTTTTATACTCTGATTTCTGGATTCCACCTAATTCAATTTTCAATGTCCAGGATCTTTTTCTGAACTAACCCCTGGCTCTGTGCAGCCCACTCTACCCGTATCAAGGACATGGAATGTAGTCAGTACAGCCATTTCCCAGTGGTGACTTCAAATAAAATTTACAGTTTTCACCTGTAACTTATCTCTAAAGCTTAATTAAAAAAGCACTGACTAGCCGGGCGTTGGTGGCTCACGCCTTTAATCCCAGCACTCGGGAGGCAGAGGCAGGCGGATCTCTGTGAGTTCGAGACCAGCCTGGACTACAATAGCTAGTTCCAGGACAGCCTCCAAAGCCACAGAGAAACCCTGTCTCGAAAAAACCAAAAAAGCACTGACTACAAACATCCAATACATGTGTAACAATGATTTCAGCCACAATGACTCTCAAACAATAATGGGCTAGGGATGTGGATCAGAGGTAAAGAGCTTGCTTAACATGCATGAGACGCTGGATTCAGTCTAAATATTAATCCTCAAAAACAATCCACTAGGTGACTGCCAACAGAATAATCATTAAATGTCAATTTGGTTTGGTTTTGTTAGGCAAGGTTTCATATAGCCCAGGATAGCCTTAAACTACTCTTGATTATCCTAATTATACCTGAAGTTGACCTTCAATTCTGGTCCTCATGCTTATAACCAAATGTTAGAATTATAGGCATGTACCAGCACATCCAGACAGCTAAACAGCAAGCCAAAATAATGTTTACTTCATCTTAGTTATCTAAATGTACAGCTAAAAACATTCTACAACAGAAAAGTATACACAGTATATGCATATAGATATACCTATACCTTACATCTTAAAGTCTACATGGAAATGGTTATCGCTTTCTTGGCTTAGAAACTGAAGCCAGGTAAAGATATGAATAGATAAATTCCCAGAATACAATTGGGGCTTCACAATTTCACTGACATATTTCTACCACTTCATGTGCACCTGTCTTTTGGCAGGTGAATACCAATGGGACCAAGCAATTAGGTGACTAAACACGGAAGATCCAACTCCTATCACAGTTCACACATGGCCAATCTAACCACGTAGATCCTGTGGCCAAAGCACCCCTTGACACTTGACAATGGGGTATACGAGTTTTTCTACTCTTGTTTTTTTAAATATTTACTTACTTGTTTATTTTATGTATATGAGTGCTTTGTTTTCATCCATACCAGGAGAGGGCACCCAATCTCATTGCAGATGGTTGTGAGCCCCCATATGGTTGCTGGAAATTGAACTCAGGACCTCAGCAAGAGCAGTCAGTGCTCTTAACCTCTGAGCCATCTCTCCAGCCCTTCTACTCTTATTTTTAAACAAAGGTCATATAGCGACTATGAACACTTTTCTCTCCTGTTTTTAGGTTTTATATTTAGCCTACTATTCAATTGTCTCATAAATTTACTCTCTCTTGATTTAACAGCTTGAATACAGTCATCAAACCTGCTGGCCTCACTACGGATGAAACTTCTATCCAAATAATAACAGATCAATGAAAACAACTAAACCATCAAGAGGCACAAACCTGGTAGTTAGGATTGTCAATCATGGGAGGCTTCCATTTGCCCTTATAATTGGGGTTGTCAATCATAGGTCGCTGCCAGACTCCACAACCAGGGGCTGATTCACATTTAGGGTTGGCAATCTGAGGAGCTTCCCATTCTCCATCCATATCCTCATCCCTGTGGAGGTATAAACAAGTTACAAGCGAACAGCCAGCCCTGTATCAGCTGTATCAGCAATGTAATACAGAACAGTATCATTTCGCATTCTCAGTAGCAATGATCTTTCATAAAAGATCAATCTTGTTCTTACAAAATGAAATTTCGTACGTTGTAGAACTCTCCATTTACACTTGGGCATTTGGCTGTACTTACTGCTTTTTGAGACAGTCCTAGCTGTCCAGGAATTTTCTGCAAACCAGCTGGACTTGAACTCAAGAGAGATCTTCCTGCCTTTGAGTGCTAAGATTAAAGGTGTACACCAACATGCCCAGGTTTTTTGTTTGCTTTGCTTTGTGTGTGTGTTTGCACATTTATTGCTTTTATTTATTTACTTTGGATTCTCCTGGACAGTGGGCTTCTCTGTGTAACAGGCAACCCTGCCCATCCTGTCATTCACTTTATAGGCCAGGCTGGCCTCAAATCTCAGAGAGATCTACCTGCCTCTGCCTCCCATGTGCTGTGATCAAGGGTTTGCGCCACCATGCCCAGAGACATTGCTTTTAATTTAAAAACAAAACAACAGGTAATTCTAAAAGCAAATTCAAACTCTCACCAATCCTCTGGCTTGTCTGCATCGGGGTCTGGGATGTACTCAGGCTCATCATCTAACCAGCCTTCAGGCTTTGTGGCCTCTTCATCTGGAATCTTAGCAGGGGCATCTTCATCCCTTAAACAGAAAACACCAGCTGTGACAACACTGGTCAGAGAATTAATTCATCCTAGAAAATATTTATAAATCATTTATCTAGGCCTACTGTCCAGAACAAGAAACTCAAATGAAAATAGCAACCAAGGATCAATTAGACATTTCTCTAATCAAACTACAGGAATACTCAAGAGCCAAAGGAAAAGATGCCCAACATACAAACAAACACAAATTTAAAGTTAGCTGGATATGGTTGTGCACACCTGTAATCCTAGCACTTGGGAGGCAGATAGATCTGTTAGTTTGAGGCCATCCTTGTTTATATATATAGTAGGTTGCAGGTCAGCTAGGGCTATAGTGAAGTATTTTTTAATTAAAACAAATAAAACAAAACATGAGGGCTAGAGAGATGGCTCAGCAGTTAAAAGCACTGGATGCTATTCCAGAGGACCTGGCTTCAATTCCCAGAACCCACATCTCTCACAACTGTCTGTAGCACCAGTTCTAGGAGATCCAACACCCATCCAACACCCTTACACAGACATGCATGCAAACAAAACATCAATATACATAAAAATAAAACAAGACAGTATCAATTAAAAATTTCAGCCAGGCAGTGAGACAGACGCAGGCGGACCTCTGTGAGTTCAAGGACAGCCTGGTCTACAGAGCAAGTGCCAGGAGAGGCTCCAAAGCTAACAGAGAAGCCCTGTCTTGAAAAACCAAGAATTCAGGCTGGCAAGATGGCTCAGAGGTTAAGAGCACTGGATGCTATTTCAGAGGTCCTGAGTTAAATTCTCAACAACCACATGGTGGTTCAGAATCATCCATGAGATCTGGTGCCCCTTCTGACCTGCAGGGATACATGCAGACAGAACACTGTATACGTAAATAAATGTTTAAAAAAACAAAAACAAAAACCTAACAATCCACAACATTGGCTTCAGATGTGGATGATAGTAAAGTATTTCTCAGCAACACAGCACATGTTTAGTATGCTGGAAGCCCTTGGTTCAATTCCCAGCACCGTAACTCATTAAACACCAGTAGTAAAGAAGCACCAGAATGGCTGGATCAAGAGAGTCTCGCAAGCCCACTATGCGAGCACAAATAAACCACAAGAGTTTTTGCATACTGTCAATCAGAGAGGGATAATTTGTAGTATCACTATTGGGTTGCTTTCCACAGTAATTGAGACTTTTCTCCTGTAAAATACTAGATAAGCCCTCCTCTTCTTGCAATTGGGGCACAAGGTCTTATTCATGAAGCCTACACTGGCTTCACACAGTCTTTCTGCCTTAGCCTCTTGAATGCTCAGATTACAGGCATGTGCCAATATGCCTAGAGTGTATCACATATTATTTAAACAATTAGATCTCAGTCAATCAACATTTCGGTGTTTAAGCTGATACTCAATAACTGATCTCCAAGAATTACCAATCATCTGGCTTGACAGCATCTGGATCTGGTATTTTGGGTCTTTCATCCCAATCCTCAGGCTTCTGGTCTTCTGGGTCCTCAATTTCACGTGAAGGGTTTACAGCAGGAGTCATATCATTTAGCAGATTTCCACTGTTCACAATAAACTGGTCAACTAATATTTCAAAACTATTGTCTGGATTCAAGACTGAAAAGATGTTAAATGCAATTAAAATTATTGACTTAACTATTCATTCCAATATTACCACCAATCCAATGCAACAGATCATGCCTTCTAGAGAAAGAACCAGTGGGTAGTCATGGAACAAAGAGCTCAAGGTACTGGGGTCAGAAAGCCTAGTACTTAACAAGTGGGGGCCCCAATGCCATTTCTTTGGGCTCCTAGCCTAGAAATCATAAAAGATAAATTTTAATAAGGTATTTCTTCTCCAACATGGAGATCAACCCTACAGCCTTATACACAATAGACAAGCACTCTTACTCCGGAGCTATTAAGTTATTATTAAACTATTTAATAACAATTACTGTTATTATTTCACTATTAAAATAGTTAAAGGAGCTAGATTAATAGCTCAATGATTAAGAGAGCTCTCACTGATCTTCCAGTGGACCAAGGTTCATATTCAACATCTACATGTCTTCCCACAACCTTCTATAACTTCAGTAGCAAAAGGTATAACAACATTTTCTGGCTTCTATGGGCACCAAGCACACATATTGTATAAAAACATACATTACAAAACAAAACAAAACACCCATAACACATAAATAATAATTAAAATAAATAAGGGGCTGGAGAGATTGTTCAGTGGTCAACAACACTGGTTCTTCCAAAGAACTCAGGTTCAGTTCCTGAGACCCACATGGTAGTTCCCAACCATTATAACTTCAGTTCCAGGAGAGTCAACACCCTCTTATAGCTTCTTATATAGCAAGCACAGGATGCACATATATACACACAGGAAAAACACCCATACACATAAAATTAAAACTCAAAAAAAAATCAAAAAACAAAAAGGTTAAAATTTATGCCACCAGGCCAGATGTGGTATGCATTCCTCTAGTACCATCACTTGCTAGGCAATCCAGGTTTGAGGCTAGGATAACAATAATAAAAACTTGTTGGTGGGCAGAATGGCACAGTCCTGTGATCTTAGCACCTGGGTGATAGAAACAAAGTCATCAGCCATTCTCACCTACTCAGGGAGTTTAATGCCAGTCTGAGCAACGAAAAAAAATGGCTAGGTGTAATGGCACACGCCTTTAATCACAGCAGAGACAGGTGGATCTCTGGGAGTTTGAGGCCAGTCTGGTCTACATAATGAGTTCCCAGGCAGTCAGAGCTACACAATGAGACCTTGTCTCAAAACAACCAGAATGAATGAATGAATGAGGTGGTGAAATGGCATAATAGTATATACAGGCACTTGCCACACAATCCCAAAGCTGAGTTAGATCCCAACCACCTCTGATCTCCATGCACAAACCACTGATAGGGTCTGGAGACATGGCCCAGTGGTTAAGAGCAGTATGTGCTCTTCCCTAATGTCTTTAACTCCAGCTTTAGGGGATCAATCAATACACTCTTCTGGAATTTCAGCACCAGACATGCAAGTGGCAAACAGTTCTGCAGGCATAACACCCACACACATAAAATTATAAGTCTTCACCTACAAACACAGAAAAACACCAAAAGCCTATATAGACTAATATAACATTGGGACACATATTTATGCACCTGCCAGCAGTTAGATAAAAGGTTTATAGTTTTCTGTTTATTTGTTTGCAAGGTTTGGAGCCTTAAATACACTAGATAAACATGCAAAAACTATACCACATACCCAGCCCTATGGTTATACTTCTGAAGTACACTGCCAGCCAAAAATTTTCTTCTAAAAGTAGGTATTAAATACTGAAAAAATAGTATTTCATTATAATTTTTTAACAATCTAGGAAGTTCTCAAGTCACTAGTAGTCCTAGTGCAATGTCAATGGCAACTGGGAGCTTCCATTTTAATAGTGGCCTTGTAAGTGAAGACTCCCACACTCTGGCTAGCACCCATGTAGGGGTCTCTCTAAAAGTGACCTCACTTTTCCTTCTCAGCACACTGGCCTAGACCTTCAGCACAGCCTTTCATATTCCTGGTACTAGTGCATGTTTTCTTTCTGCAGTAAACCTGTGTCCATGGTAAGTTATTTTACACCCATGGCATTGAGGCCTTTCAGTCATCATATTTTTTCCTCTCCATGAAATTCTCCTTTGAGACCATTATCAGTTAAGTAATTTCCTGGTGAGGTAGGAGCATAATCTGTTATCCCCTTTCACGGGAAGTAGTACATAGGGTGTTTTCCAAAGATTCTTTATAAAGAAAAGGCTTTTGTAAGTGTTCTTTAAGTCTGCAAACTTAACACTAACCAGATGGTAAGTATATGTCTTATACTCCCAACAGCTGGTTTTTCTTACCTAATGTGTAAAGATGAGTTTTCTTGTCAGTAAAATACATCTTCAGATCTGCATCTGGCCTCTTAGCATGCTTTTCTTCATATACACCTGTCTTGGGGTTTTTGTGGCGAAAAATGAAGTGCAGTTTGTAGTCTTCTCCACATTTATCTGGACCAAACATAATAGTATAGGGAGTCTTGTCGTGGAATTGATCCTTAAGAGACAAAGGTAAAGTGCCTTAAGTAACTCTAGTCAAAAAATTCCAAAAGCAAACTTTGAAAAATATATAATAGTTCCTCATAAAACTCCAAGGTGCTGGAGAGATTGCTCTCTTCCAGAGCACTCAGGTTCAATTTCCAGCATCTACATAGCAATTCACAACTGTTTGTAACCCAGCTCAAGTGATCTGACACCTTCAAACAGACAAAATGAGGGCAAAACACCAATGCAGATAAAATAACTTAAAAAAAAAAACAACAACAAACAAACAAGTTTCATACAAATAAACCTATTAGTTTTAAAGAAAACCTCATGGATTTTTAGAGTTTGATCAAATACCAATGAAAAATAACAGCAATCACCAGAAATATTAAAATAATAAAAACAAAGTTATGTGCATACAAACATCTTTCAAAAACAAGAAATAAGCTTAAGAAATCAGAAAACTGCCAACACATGCCTTTAATCCCTGCACTTATAAGAAAGAGGCAGTTGGATCTCTGGGAGTTCAAGGCCTCCCTTGTCTACACAGCAAGTTTCAGGCCTACCAGGGCTATACACTGAGATCCCGTGTTAAAAATAAAATAAATAAAACCACAAACAAAAAAAAAAACCTTAAAAATTCCAGTTTAGAAATAATTTCTAGTCAAAGCCTGTAAGTGTCAAGCCTCCATGGTTCTACAGCAGATCAGTTTTGCAAACTGTTTTAAATGATGGAGGTTGAAGCCAGGGCCCTATGAAAGGTAGGCATGTATCCTATCACTGAGCTACACTCCAAGCTCTAAGAGCCTAAAACAACTTTTACATAGACAGAGTACCTACCAAGTTGAGTTCTGAGGTCTTGGAAAGCAGCTTCACATAGGCACCACCACATTCTATTCCATTCTGAAAATTAACCTCATACCTAGTTTCAGAGAGAAAAGCAATAAACAAATAGAGAGGCAGGCAGGCAGGCAGATGAGAGCCTGTGGCATTTTGAAAGATCATATTTCCTGATTGACTTCTCCCCAGCCTGGTCACGTTTTATCACAGGTTGTATGACTAGATTCACATAAAGGATTCTAGCCACTACTGCTTTCACATGGACTCAAACAGCACAAAATTAAAAACAAAACAAAATTAATCCTTAAAGTAAAATCCACATATTTGTTTGCTATCAATAGGGTAAACAACCAGACTGTCTTTAAGTAACTTTCTAAGCAGTTAAAAATAGGTGCATGCCTTTAATCCCAGTACTTGGGAGACAGAGGCAGGCAGACCTCTGTGAGTACAAGGTCAGCCTGGTCTACAGAGCAAGTTTCAGGACAGCTAGGGCTGTTACATAGAGAAAACCTGTCTTAAAAAACAAAATAAATAAATAATATAAATACACCACTCAACATGTTCAAATTCACACAATTTCCTACCTTAAACATTTCCTGGGTTTTTTAGTGTATGTTAAGTTTCATAACATCAATTGAGATTACTGTTTCTAGAAAACTCAAGAAGGCACTGAACTTACTGAACAATGAGAGGCTTGGTGTCAAACAGGAAGGGCTTGTTCAGTTTAGCAGAGATGGCATGATGCTTGGCTCGAGACATCAGTACAAGTCCTTTATCACCTGGAAGCTTTGTGTCCTTCATTTCATCTACCTCCCACTTTCCTACAGGACAAAACAAAAAGGCTCTCCACTGTTAGCCATACTATTTATGGTCTTTTAAATGGTAATAAACTAAATTCCAGTTGTATAAGTATCACAGAGATCAATGTTTATTTACCATTACTTTACCTGTAAGCTGAGTTACTGCATGTATATCTGTCAAATGTATGACATGTTTTGGAAATAACTGTAGTCTATTCATTATACCTAAAGAGGAACTTCCATTTCTCACATGGTTATTAAATAATTTCTTTCTTTTTTTATTAAAGATTTATTTATTTATTACATATACAGTGTTCTGCTTACATGCCAGAAGAGGGCACCAGATTGAATTATAGGTGATTGTAAGCCACCATGTGGTTGCTGGAAATTGAACTCAGGACCTCTGGAAGAGTAGTCAGTGCTCTTAACCTCTGAGCCATTGCTCCAGCCCCCAAATAGATCTAGTTCTACCACATATAAAGCCATATATAAAGATGGTATATTTCCTAAGGAAAAAAAATCTGAAAATATATCTTTTTTTTAAACTATTTTTTAGCCAGACAAGGTGGCACAAGCCTTTACTCCCAACACCTGAGAGGCAGAGGCAGGAAGATCTGAGTTTTAGGCTGCCCTGATCTAAAGAGCAAGTTCTAGAACAACCAAGGATACACAGAGAAATCCTGTCTCAAAAAAAAAAAAAAAAACAAAAACAAAAAAAAAAAACAAAACTCAGTTGCGCATGATAGCACAAGCCATTAATCAACATACTTGGGCAGAGGCAAACCAATGAGTTTGAGGCAAGCTTGGTCGTCTACATAGCAGGTTCAAGTCTCAAAAACCTGAACAAGGAGGAGACCAACAGACATGCTAATTCAAAAGAGGGACTCTCATGGGGCCTCAGCTTTAAACAAAGAACTACATGCTGAAAGTGGTAGAATTAGGAAGAGGCCCTAAATTGGTTACCAAGTAGTCATTGCTGAAATCATATACATGCAAATAACTTTGTATGCAAAGTGAGCAGGTTGTATTTATATATTTAGGGGAAAATGTATAAAAATAAAGAAATAGTGGTCATGAATTTGAAAGGGAGCTGTGCGGTGCACAGGAAGGATTGGAGGGAGAAAAGGAAAGAAAACAATGTAATTACATTTTAATTTCAATGATAAAAATAGTTTTAAAAGTAAAACAAAATATGGTTTTCATTTCTGTTTATGTATGTGACTATCCATGGAGGCTAGAAGAGGGTGTCTAATCTCTAGAGCTTGAGTTTTAGGTGATTGTGAGTTATGACATGGATGCTGGGAACCAAACGTGGCTCTGGAAAAGCAATACATGCTCTTGACTGCTGAACCATCACTCTAAGCCCCAAACATCTTTTGAACTAGTCTTAGGGCCATGTACCTAGAGGATAACCACAGCATGAGCATTTGGGCAACTCAAGTTGGAATTAAAAAGGCTTTCCAGATCTGGAAGGAGTCAGGGGACAGGTGGGCAAGAGTATGATCAATAATACAGTATATGCATGTATTAAATTCTCCAAAATTAAAAAACATGTTATGTTTCAAAAGGAGAGATGCCATGGAGACAAGATGCAACTTTGGTACCATACTGTATCTAGAATGTATTCTCACCATCATATTTGGCAATTTCATCATCAGTGTCATCTTTTTTGGCTTTAGATAAAATCCACCTGTAATTAAGACAAACCCCAGAGTTAAAATCAAATGACAGAAAATGATGCTTCAAGCAGCAACTCTTTCCTATTCCATCTAGCCTACGTAACAAGGTTCAAGAGAAAAAAAAAATTCCCAAAGAATGAAATATAAGGTGAAGAGAAGAACAGGAAGGAATGAAAGCAACAAGAGGCAAAGTCCCAAGATAACTTTCATGTACAATACTGGAGATGTATCACTGGGCATGCATGTTAAAACAATATCCCAGGGGCCCACTTTTTATTCATTCATTCTTTCATCTTAAATTTTACATCCGGGCCAGGTGATGGTAACACACACAACTTTAATCCCAGCACTTGGAAGGCAGAAGCAGGCAGATTTCTGGGAGTTCCAGACCAGTCTGGTCTATGAAATGAGTTCCAGGACAGCCAGGGCTACACAGAGAAATTCTGTCTTAAAAAAAAAAAAAGAAAGAAAATTAAAAACTGACCAGTTTCCCCTACCTCCTCTAATCCCACCCAGTCTTCCCTGCTTGGTCCCTCCCACCTACTCCTCCATTTCTATTCCGAAAAGGGCAGGCCTCCCATGAATACCAACAAAACATGGTATATCAAGTTGCAATAAGACTAAGAACTTCCCCTTGTTTTAAGGCTGAGCAAGGCAATCCAGTATGAAGAGTAGGATCCCAAAAATCAGTAAAAGAGTTAGAGACATCCCCTGCTCCACTGTTAGGAGTCCCACAAGAAGACCAAGCCACAACTATTAGACATATGCAGAATACCCAGATCAGTCCCATGCAGACTCCCTGGTTGTCGGTTCAGTCTCTATTAGCTACTATGAGCCCCGGTTACTTGATTCTATGGGTTTTCTGGTGGTATCCTTGACCCCTCTGGCTCCTACAATCCTTCATCCCTCTCTTCAGCAGGATTCAGAGGGCGCCACTTTTTAAGGCTGTAGCTCTCAGCAGAGCACTTGCCTCCCACATATGACACCGAGTTCAACCCCAATACTGCTTAAAAAGGAGTCAGAACTTTCCCACTATTCGCTTATTTACTAGATATTCACCTCTCAAACTTTTACCCCCAGGAGAACACTTACCCTGATAGAGACCCTCTATCAAAGGAGTCAGCAAAATAAACTTCCCCTGTTGGAACTGGAGCTTTGTAGGTGACCTGTATTAACATAAAAGTTAATTAAGGCTGGGCATAGGTGGCCCACACCTTTAATCCCAGCACTCGGGAGGCAGAGGCAGACAGATCTCTAAGAGTTCGAGACCAGCCTGGTCTACAAGAGCTAGTTCCAGGACAGCCTCCAAAGCCAGAGAGAAACCCTGTCTCAAAAAAAAAGAAAAAAAGAAAAGATAAAATTTTAAGTGATCAGTGGTGGTGGTGCATGCCCAGCACTTGGAGGTTGGAGGCCAGCCTGATCTACAGATCAAGTTCCAGGACAACCAAGGCTACAAAGAAAAATCCTCTCTTGAAACACAAAAATAAAAAACATAAAATTTAAGCCAAGCACTGTGACACAAACTTAAAATCCCAGCCCTTCAGAAGGATCACAAGTCCAGCTACAAAAAGACCGTGTTGTTGGGAGGAGAGTGGCACTTAGTAACATTCCTTAGAATTTATTCTCTTGGTTTGATTTCAACTGTCATAGCTGTCCCTGAATTCAATCCACCTGTAACCAAAGGCTGCTGGAAGGCTTGGCAAATATCTCTTTTAAAACGTTGCTTTGCCTTTGAAAACATTGGGAGGGGGATTTCTGGGGGTCAAATTCAGAGTCTTACATATGCTAGGTAAGCATTCTATCACTGAACTATACATTCCCAGACTCTGGTTTCATATTTTTTGATTTTTAAACCAAGAGATACAAGAATCTATATCAAGAGGGGTATGGTGGCCCAAGCCTTTAATCCCAACACTCAGGAGGCAGAGGCAGGTAGACATCTGAGTTGGAGGCCAACCTGGTCTATCAGGACAGCCAGGGATACACAGAGAAACATGTTTTGAAAAAACAAAAGGAAAAAGAAAGATGTACTTCAAACCTTTGGAGATGGAGGAGTACTGGAATCTGATTTCGATTTCGAATCTTCTACCTCTTCAATAACATCATCAAGATCATCTTCAATATCAATCATGTCATCATCATGTCCATCATGGGCCTGAACAGCTATAGTTCCAAGGACCAGTAGCAAACACAGTAACCACTTCCCTTCCATGATCTACCTGCAATAAGAATAGAATGTAAAATGTGCTGTGTCCCATTTTAAATCCCATAAAAACCTTTACCCGAACAAAAGAAATACTGTACTCAACCTATAGAAAGGGAAACCTATAGAAAGGCTGGGTGTGGTAATGCACACCTTTAATTACAGCACTTGAGAGGCAGAGGCAGGCAGATCTTTGAGTCTGAGGAAATCCTGGTCTACAAAGCAAGTTCCAGGACATCCAGGGCTGTTACACAGAGAAACCCTGTCTCTAAAAACTAGAGAAAAAAAAAGGGGGGGGACCCTGGGAGATGAAAGGGTTTCCCTAAAACCAGTTAATTAGAATCAACACTCAAGCATATCTAACTATACCAATATAATCTAGGTGTTCTGGTACTTATAGTAGCACTCGGATGGCTAAGGCAGGAAAACCCTAAATCCAAGGCCAGCCTGAACCACACAAAACCCTGCCTCTTTCTCTCACACGCAACATCAAACAGACTAAGGGCATTCAATTAACTAGTTTTCATTACACACATTTATTTACTATGCAGCCTCTTCCTGAGAGCTGTCAAAGGACAACTTTCAGGAGTCTTTCCTTCTACCACTTGAGTCTAGGGGTCTAACTTAGTCATCAGTCTTGCTGGCAAGACCTTTACCCACAACCATCCCACCTTAACTCCTAATCTGTTTCACAATGTCCAAAATATCTTTCACATCTAATTTACAGTATCTACTGACTAAAACATTAAAATGCAACGAGAGGCAATAAACAGTTCGATTCACATTTAAACACTTACTATTAGCATTTGCTACTACTGTTCAGTTCTTAAGTATAGACACATTTTGAAATTAGTGTTCTAAGATTCCACAACAAAAACATTAAGCAGAGTACAAGCTACTTCAATCTCTCATCTTCTAAGCACTTAGTCTCTGTATTAACTAGACTGTGATGGGTGGTAGATAGGTAGGCCCTATTAAAATAAAAGCTGAATGAGCTATCAAGAGCACACAAGGTGAGCTGGGAATGAATAGACACAAGTGGCTGACCTACTACGAGCATAAACATGTCTTTGACAGGGCACAATTGTCTCTTTCCCACATGATCACCAACTCAACCCTCAGCTTTCCCTCTCTGTTAGCAATAACAATACTTACTGACATCCTGTCTCTCCATGGCTTCAATTACTGTCTCTAAGGCCACCCTACACCCAGATGAGATTCCTTATCCCAAAACCCTGTCCTGTAAGTCTGCATCTGCAGACACCTGTACACCTCTGGCTAGCAATCAGACCTTTCTTTCAGGCTGCATTTTCCCCAAAACCCTCAATCAATTTAGTCAAGAAATTTTCCAACTCCCTCATACACACTAACGTTCACTATCTACTCTCTCAACATACTAAAAAACCCCTAAAATGCAGAGATTCTGAGAAGCTCATACCCAGTCTTGGTTGACTCTTACTCCTCCCCAAGTACCTATTAAACCGCGTGTTAGCTGGGCGTTGGTGGTACACACCTTTAGTCCCAGCACTTGGGAGGTAGAGGAAGGTGGATCTCTGTGAGTTCAAGGCCAGCCTGGTCTACAGAGCAAGTTCTAGGACAGCCTCCACAGAGAAACCCTTTCTCAAAAAAATAAAAAACAAGCAAACAGACAAACAAAAAACCCGTGATAATATGTTAAACCATAACTGATAAGAAAGAAAGAAAACAGCCAGGCACAGTAGCATAGACCTTATTAAAGTATTTGCTAGTATCAGCCAGCAAAAGGGAAGCAGAAGCAGACAGATCTCTTTGAGTTCTAGGCCGGTGTGGTATAACAAATCCAAGCTAGTAAAAGCTATGCAGTAAGACCCTATCTCTAACAAAATAAAGAACATCAAAATGCACACAAGTGCCAAGTGTTTTCCTGTGCCTTTTTTCCTTGGTGATTCTCAGTGTGGCTATTGCTCACCTTTCCCTTTGGTTACACCATTACTTTTACCAATGGCTTTCTTTCTTGAAGGCTATGTTTCTTCCCAAGTTCTCAAAGCAACACAAACCCGTAATTTCTGCTAAAACTCATGTTACTGATATAAGAACACTGATACAAATTTTTTTAAATTATGAAGCTTTTACTAAAAATATAACCAGCTACAGCATACAATAGTAAATGTTGACAGAAGTCAGAACCCTTTTGTACCATGAGAGGGGTTGTAAGATGGTACATGTGCTACAGATAAAAAACTACCTTATAACAAATCTAGCAACTTCACTTCTGGTGACACAACCAAAACAACTAAAAGAGGTTTTCAGAGGTATCTGCACATCCATGTCCATCAATGTCACAAGAGCTAAGTAAAGCAAACCTGTTACAAAAGGGCAGATACTATATGACTGTAAGTTATGACTCCTCCCTGGGAGGTGGGGGTGGAGCAAGGACCCTTTTACAGGAAGATCAATCAGATATCCTGCATATTGAATATTTATGATTTTTAACTAGCAAAATTACAGCTATGAAGTAGCAACAAACATAATTTCACGGGTGCTAGGAGTCAAACCTGGGTCCTAGAATAATAAGTGCTTTTAAACACTGAGCCATCCATCTCTCTGGGTGTCTTGAGTGTCCAAATAAACAGGTAGAGAAATAGAATTGCAATAAGTGATGGAGGAAAAAGCAAAGGAGAGTTTAACACGAGTCTGAAATTAAAGACGAGCACTACCAATATTCTCCAGTAAAAGGAAAGAATACGCCTCAAAATAGCTGATTATAGGGCTGGAGAGACAGCTCATAGGTTAAGAGCACTGGCTAGTCTTCCAGAGGTCCTGAGTTCAATACCCAGCAACCACATAGTGGCTCACAACCATCTATAACGAGATCTGGTGCCCCCTTCTGGCATGCATAATAAATAAATAAATAAATCTTTTTTAAAAATAGCTGATTATAAGAGAACTGGATAATATGCAAGTCAAGCCTGCAAGCTAGATATTTTGGCACATGCCTATAACCCTGGCACTTAGGAAGCTAAGTGAAGCAGATCAGCTACATAGTGAGTCTGTTTTAAAAAATGAAAAGGAGAGCCGGGCGTTGGTGGCGGATGCCTTTAATCCCAGCACTTGAGCAGAGGTAGGCGGATCTCTGTGAGTTCGAGGCCAGCCTGGTCTACAGAGAGAGTTCCAGGACAGCCTCCAAAACAATACGGAGAAACCCTGTCTCGAAAAACAAAAAAAAATAAAATAAAAATAATGAAAAGGAGAGAAACCCAAATATCTAGCGCCAGAGAGTAAGTGATCAATGACACAATCACAGAAGGACATCAGAGGAATACCGTTTATTGATCAAGCTCAAGGATCAAAGATGAATAGCTTGAGCAACAAAATTAGTGTTTTGGATTATACATGCAAAACATTTAAGTATCTACAAATCTACAATGATCCAAATAATCGAATATGGAACAGTCCCTGCATAGAATCCACTGACACTGCACCCTAAAGAATGTGAGCAATCCTCACCTTCAGGCTGTACTGTTACAGCCTTCTAAAGAGAAGAGAATGGAGGGGAAGAAGAATTTTATAATGCAGAAAGCCGGCAGACTACCTTAGCCAGCTTTGATCATGGTAAGCATCAACAGAGATAGGTCATACTGACAGCATACATCCTTGATACCATATGATAAAGGTGGTACTAGAACCCTTGATCTTCCTTCTAAAATCCGTGTCTAAAATAGGATAAGGAAGGGACAGGCAAATACCAAACAGGATATTCTATGAAATACCTCCCCAGTTTCCAAAAAAAAAAAGGAAACTTGAGTAACATCTATGTCTTCTTTGTGCTTGAGCACTTCTTTCAACGATTAAACAAGACTATTATTCATGCATTTTAATATATACCATGATTCCACATTTTTGGGTCCTCTCCAAATCTTCTGTATTTACATCTACATTCTCTTAAGGTAGAAGCAGACTGAGTTCAAGGCCAGTTTAGTCTACATAGTAAGTTCCAATATAGTCAAGAGTTATCTGGAAACCATCTCAAGGAAGGGAGGGAGGGAGGGAGGGAGGGAGGGAGGGAGGGAGGGAGGGAGGGAGGGAGGGAGGGAGGAAGGAAGGAAGGAAGGAAGGAAGGGTTTGTTTTTTTACATTTATTGTGGGTTAAGGTCAGAGGACCACTTTCAACTTTCTGTTTTCTTTCCCTCTTTTCACCACGGGGGACTTAGGGATTGAACTCAGGGTATCAGACTTGGCAGTAAGCATCTTTACCCACTGACCCACCAATAAAGTCTTTAAAAAAACAAAAAATCAAGTATCAGGGACAGATTAGAGCTCAATGGTAGAGTATTTGCCTGGCATGCTATAAGTCCTGGGTTTTGCAACCAATGTGGAAAACAATCAACAGAGCTCTAAAGAGCTCAAGTCACAGTTAGCAAGTGCTCCCTGGAATTGCAAGGCTCAGGGGGAAGTCAATACAAAGATTATCTTACTCCTATATACAGAAACAAACTTCCTATAATTCTTTTCTATTTCTAAGGTAAGGCTTCTTGCATTCCTATATACCATTTTTTTCTAGCTTCTGATATAATTTTATTTTCTGCTTACAAGTTATATCACTTTGGGAGGGGGGTGGAGGGTTCAAGACAGGGTTTCTCTGTGGCTTTGGAGGCTGTCCTGGAACTAGCTCTCATAGACCTAGCTGGTCTCGAATTCACAGAAATCTGTCTGCCTCTACCTCCCCAGTGCTGGGATTAAAGGCATGCACCACCACCACCCAGGACCCAGCACTTTCTGGTTTTCTTAAAGTTCTTTGTTTAATGTTTTTTCCTACGGTGCTTAAATCCAGTGGCTTGCACACACTAGCCATATGAACTACATCCTCAGCCCTGTCTACTAGCCTTCTTTTTTTTTTTTTTTTTTTTTTTTTTTTTTTGGTTTTTACGAGACAGGGTTTCTCTGTATTGTTTTTGAGGCTGTTGGTCCAGCCTGGCCTCCCGCCTGCCTCTGGGATTAAAGGCGTGCACCACCAACGCCCGGCTCTACTAGTCTTCT